TCCTCGTCCATACAATTACCTGGATCGCGAACCTTCTCATTCATTCGGAAACTTTATTGTAAATTTTTGACGCTGACACACCAGGTCGTCTTCGGACGTGAGGAAAATGTGTGAACAGCTAGTGCATTTTTGAAAGTGCCAAAAAATTGATAATGATTTGTCATCCATGGTCAATATTATGTTTTGGTGGTTGGCGCTTTTTCCAGGCTTTTGTGAGATTGGTATACATGGGGATGCCTATTTCCAACTTCATACATAATTATTTTTTCAGGCTGAACAGCGAGTACGTGAATGTACACAGTTAAGAAAAAAGTGATTTAGTTGAACCAATTGTGAAAAAAACTTGAGGCGTCAGCGGGAGTCGTACCCGCATAGCAGAGAAGGCCTTTACACAGCCAACGCTCTACCACTTGAGCTACATTGTCACGTCAGTTGCATCCATTTCACCTGCTCAGCTCGCATAGAGTCCACCAATACGGAAGAGCAAACTGACGGCTGATTAACTTCACGGCTGATGGCGTGGCGTTGTAGCTCAACAAGTACAGCGTGGGCTGCGTAAACGCTTTCACTGCTATGCGGACTCGACTCTTCCCGACGCCGCGGGTGCTCTTTTCACAATTAGGTCAACTAAATCAAGCAAATCTGTTAAAACGTCTAAATTAAATAAACGATTACTATGGCATTGGATTGTGGCGTAACTGACCTCCCTTGCGACAAAATGGAAGCACTCAATGGAATATGTATGCAGCGCCAGTCAGACTTCTTCTGAATTTCTGACTGAATTGCTTTCTTACGAATCAAGAGCGTCCGCAGCAGATAACTAGGGTGTAGAAACACACTTCTATGGCTTCAGTAAATATTACTGTAGAACTGAAACGAAGGTAGAAGTAACCTGTGCAAAATTTAAGGGGTTTTAATTAGCAAAGGCGGTGGCCGTTTGTTTTACAACATTTTTGAGTATCTCACGCCAAAATTAATCAGGATATGTTAGCGAAGGACTGAAAAACGACGATAGGCAAGACATGCAGTTTTTCAAGTCCCGCAAGCAACTTGTCTAAGTTTTTAAATGTTTGATTATTCTTCCCATACCAGCGAGAACGCATTAACGAAAACTTATTAATCATAACGAGCAGCATTGGGCATATTTAGTGCTTAAGAGAACTATAAGAAGTATTTAGTGTTTGTTAAGAAAAATACAATTTTCTCAATAATCTCCAGGTTCTGGAAACGTCAAAAATAGCTATAAATTAGAACAATAAATTTAAATATTTTGTTAAGTATAAACTTAAAGCAACCTCTTTCTTCGTATAAAAAGAACTTGCCGTTAGTCAAAATGTTTTATGCATATGGTAATTATTGGATAAATAGTTATTGAATATCGCTGAATAAAGCCTCCCTTCATTTCGCTTGTTTTCGGTGTCCTCATTTATAAGTTGATCAATTGCGATATAACTAAACAACATTTACCGAAAAAAACGGGCTTTTGAATATTAGTTCTTATGCAGATGGCTATGTAGGTCAAAGGTGGAAATGCTTCAAAACAGCAAACTACATTGTCGAGCATACAAAATGTCTGCTACATACCACACATATTGTTATTCCTAAGATTAATAAAAAAACACCTTCCATAATAGGTTACCTCTTTTATTGGATATGTAGCTGACGAACTTCTGTGTATATTAACTTTTTCCAA